ACTTACGACAGTAATAGGCAGACAAATTTATCTTTTCACGAAAAAAATTCAGACGTCCACGCAAATGAACAGTGCTGCCGAGCCGGAGAGAAGATTCTCCCCGCCCTGACCTACAGGTTGCAGGGCTTACGCGGTCTGAGAGTTCTATGAGACGCTGAGCAAGGGAGACAGTCGGTGACCGACCGTCGCCTAATAACCCCTCAGACAACGCGAATGAAGTATTACGCCAGATTGTGCAAGTAATCGTTCCGGTACCATCTTCGACTAGAACGGTAGACAAAAGTTAGACAACGATAAAAATAATCTGAGTGAAAAGAATCAGTTTTCGTAAGAATTCTGATTTTCGTGGAAACAAGGTGGTTTCACCACTACATCGTTGGTAGATTGACAAAAAAACAGCTTCTAGCACCAGGACAATATTAGACAACCAAAATATATTAGAAACCGGGAGCAGATCGTGGCTTTTATCCTCTAAGATCCTCCACATCAAATGACAGTAATACCCATGGAGGGTTAAAGCGGGGTTCTAATTCTATCTTCCGGCTTGCAATTATTTTGAACTAACGTGGTACAGCGACTTTATAATAATAAAAAAAACAATAGTTTAAACTAAACTTGTCTTTATTTTTGCTAACCTGAAATGTACCGTCTGCGTTTAATTGTCTAGCACTGTGAGTTCATGTACTGACCGTCTTGACTTCTGAAAAAATCTGCTGTCACTGACAGTATAGCCAATTTGTAATTGGAGTGACACCAAGACGAATTCAAGTCATTCGAGCCAAGGATGAAACAAAGCAAGGTGAGTGACATGGTATCCATAAGATGCCCCGCACCGGCAACCACTGCTGCACAGATAGTCGAAAAAATACTGAACCTGAAACCAGCTCTCTTCTCTCTACTAACGTTGCCTTTCGAAGTATATTAGTTCACGTTGCGTGTTTCTCCGCGCTTACTGTAGGCCCGGGAATGCTTAATTTGTATTAGGCTGGTGAAGACTACCGGCAACATGGAAAGGTTAAGACAGAAAGGACACGGATTACAAACTGTTCCGGGTATATTGGTAGCTGCAAACAAGGCATATGCAAAGTTTTTAAAGCGCAATTAGGACATACTTTCCACGGTGTAACATTTTTCACGAGGTTCAAAGCGGTGAATTGTGCCGTAGACATCTACGTGAGTAATCCATCGAGGACCCAGACGAAACAAGTCTGTAAGTCAAAAATGTAATCAGGAAACAATGTAATGAACGTAAGTCGGGGCACGGAAGTTTCGGTTGCTCATTTTCGATGAAAATTGCAATCGTACCAGAAACGAAGACGGGCAGTTTGAATAGTTATAAAGTACTAATGCAAGCCTTCCAATCAAGGTAAAAACTGTTGTGCCACACGCAAGCAAAGATACATGCATCTAGGTTATTCTGGACTAACTACCACTGTCCAGTTTTCGACA